AAATCCCTCTTTAGTATATAATATGTTGCTTGTAGACTATTCGACTCTTTTCTAATTCATTTATCTCTTTCTTTGTTGCTATTTGTATTTCTACCATATTCGTATCTTTTCGTATTCGTGACTAATTTCAAATGTGAACAACCAGAAAGCATGAATCATACGATAGATTCGTAGTCAAGAACACTGCAAAAGACGAAATAAAAGGTTATAGAAAATAACGTGCTTGCTTTGTTAGTGAATAAATATATTCAATAGTATTATTATGGATGGCTATTGTTTATTTTATGTTTAAATTCTATTCATGTAGCATCACACCATGGGTCATCGTCTCGTGACAACTATTACGCTATGTTTATCTGCATTTTTCCCGAATAAAAAATACATTGTAGAGATGTTTTACTTCAATAACTATTGTAGATATGTACTCGAGGCAACTGAATATATTCCTTTATATGTATCTATAAACGTAAATAACGTGACTTATTCTTAATAAAAACGGAGAACAATAGAATGCAATGATCACCAGTTACCAATTATGTATATTCTGATTTTGTTGATCACAGTGTATAGAGACCAGTCATGCATGAGCAAAAAAATTCGAAAAATAAAACGTTCGTAAAAATGTTCGTATCATCATAATTCGCAAAATACAATAACTCTTAATAAGGTAAAGTAACATCGACTCTTTTTACTACGAAACTACCGAAAAGCTGAAATATGTGACACTGTAACAAGACTTATATAAAAAAGAGTTGTTTTTTCTATGTTTCGAAAGTAAATCTCCACCTGTGTGTAGGCATCATTAGTGCTAAAACATAAATTCTTACATAACACATATGGCATGATCTAAACACTTCATTGTGACTTGAAGTTCTACAATCACTCAATTAAACAATATTTATATCATAAGCTAAAATGAAACATTTTGTTTAGTATAAAAATGATAAGAGAAAAGTTTTTTATCGATTGTTAGCACTCACATGTCATACTAAATTTTATAACACAGTAAGAAGTTTCCAACTGTATCATTTCAACTATCGGTATTCGCTGGAATCAACATCAATAAGCGTTCAACAAATCATCCTTCATGACATACAAGTTATCTGATAACTTCATCCAGAGTATTTTCTCAAGTAGTTCGTATCAGCGTTTTTCTGTTTTCTTTCTAGTTTTAATCTTTGACTCAATATGACTTCTTTTATCAATAAAATACTCGGTAAAGAAGATAAAGCTGAACATGAATCTCACGCCACCCATGAATCCCATAAACATGGAGGATCAACATCATCAACCACTACAGTAGACAGTCGCACATCAGGTCCACAGTCGCCTACTGGTGCAGTACATACAGCGGCGAGTGATGATGTTCGTGTTCGTTCATCGGTTACATCAGATACGCAATCAAAAGTTGCTATGGAAAATACGACAAGAATCAATGAATTACTGCAAAAACTTGGTAAGTGATACCTCTTTTATTAGTTTGTGAGTAATATTTCCTGTGAATTATTGCTTCAGGTACAACACATACACAAGTTGATGATTATTCAAAACAACGTACAGATAAGATTAATCAGGCTGTTAACGCATCAATCCAGAAAGTGGTCGCGGATACCCGGACACAACAAGAACAACTGTTACAAGATGCTAATGTTCGCACAAAAGCATTTGAAGAAGAATATAAAGTGAAATTAGAAGCATTCCTTGACGAACTAAATGTACAAAAAGCAAAAGAACTGGCTGATATGGAACGAGAACTCAATGCTCGTCAACAAGGGATATTGGATCAAGCTAGACAACGTATCGATCAGTTGAATTCACAAGCCAATGATGCGAAATTGAACGTAATGAAAGAGGCACAGGCTCAAATTAATGCTCAAGTGGAAGGCATTACAGATCAAGTTCAACACTTAGGTGCTGAAGATGCAGCTCGTCATTTACAATCAACAACAACAACGGTTATTACATCACAAGCGA